AAAGCTAAAACACCATCATATTCAACTTAGTTTGAACTGCTGATTAGTTTCACGAACATTCACAGAATAAAATTTAGTTCATTGCGGAGTCCTAAATTTGATATGATAATAAATAAAGATGATGAAATCACTGGAGCTGTAATTTGACCATGTTCCTATCAGATGTAGACATATCAAACTCTCTTCTAGTGAATGTGATTTTATTGTTGAAACTGTCAGTTAACTCGAGGTATTATTCAACGTATTTCAAGATAGATATATATATATATCATCACAATAGTAAGATTAAAGAAATCCCCAATCTAGTCAGAGCTATATCACATGGTAATTTACTATAGTTGCTAATTGATATCACTAAAAAACCTATAGTTTTATTCTATAACAGTGAGTCCTTTTAAATAATAATGAAAAAGCAAAGTTGAAATCAATGCTCCTGTGCATGTTAACTTGGTGGTTCCAGTAGCTAGGGATTCGTCACAAGACTTTAAATCTTCTGGCTTGATCACTGATAGTGTCATCAGTAAGAACTGATGAGTCTCATATTGGAATGAAATATACGTGTAGTGCTCCTTGATTTTAATGGTACTGTAAATGAAATATATCTGTGGCGAATAATTGATTTAGTTCATTATTTGATCCATTCCTAACCGGAAAGGGTAATAACTTAACCCGTCCAGTTTGATCCTATGCCCTACGATAAATGTGAAATGTATGTGTATATACATTTTTTTTCCAGCTCGGATAATGGAAAACCGGCTATTATTGGTTCGAAATTAGGGAATGGTTGTGGTATTTTAAGTGGTGTTCACTTTGAATATGATCCATATTTATTAGAAAAGCAAATATACAATGTTGATCCTGAGAATAATGGTAATATTGATGCCATAAACAATTATAAATTTATTGAAACATTGAAGACGAATAATTCATCTCGTTTGAAATTATTTGAAACTTTAATTACACTTTTGTTGAATCCTGACAATGAATCAGTTTTAATGAAATAATATTTATGGTTGAACTGGTTTTAGGCTTCGACTTGTCTACCCTTCCCTTTTTTATGTATTTCATTATACTACTAATTAATATTCAGTAGCGTGATAATAACGCTTGTATATCTAAAATCTAATGTTTCTGTTTTGTAATTTACTCCTAATCTTAAATATTCGCCTATTTATTCAGTGTTTTAATCCACTTTCTTGATTGCAATTTTATATCCTCCGCTTTTTAATTCTTCATCATATGTTTTTTTGTTCTGAGACTTTGTTTTCTTTCGAAGTAGCTTATCCATTTCGAATGTATAGTCCATGATTCAATTCATGAGTAATTCAACCATTGAGTTAGAATCTTTGAACGGATTCTAATTAATTGAACAATCTCCTTTTCTTGTTTTTGTATAGTGCTGTATTGGTTTTTATTGTAGAAAATACACCCATTTACTTTTATGGTCTGAATCATTTTTCATATTGTCAGTTTCTATATTTGTAATACATGATTTGACTCACCTTAATAGGAATAATCGGGTATTAGGGAATGATGGTAAATCAGTTGATGAGGTTGTGAATCTTCATTGACTGAGATGGTTGGGCTACGTGTTGCGTATGCCTGAACATCGATTACGATGACGCGCAATGCAGACTAATGTTGGAGAAGGTGGGAAGAAAGTTAGGGGCGGTCAAAATAAAACGTGGCATTAGTGCTTGAAGTCACTAACTTCTAGTTTCAGTCATGTTGGTAGATGCAGACTACATGGTTGGGGTCCATGTGACTATCGTAAACAATGGTTCGAGACTCTTGATGACATGGCTCAGAATCGATCACAATGGTGTGGGTGTATACACTCCCTGTCTTCCTTTAAACTAAGAAATTAAAATCACTTTATATCTTTCTTTCTACAAACTAGTTCTTTCTTCCTGTATTATACTCTTATATGCAATCCTTGTTTTATTTATTATAACCACTGAATTAACTGCTTCTATGAATTTAGTGTTTATGTTGTTGTGCTAATGCGGTATGGCAACTTGAACGGATGCATATATGTGCCTAGTGCTACGTTGTAGCTGACTGAAGGAATAGGAATAATCAAGTTATTTTTGCTGTGATGTTTTGTAGTGTGTCTGTGTCTATGAACCTGACTAACTGAGTGTATGTTGTGTTTTGCTGTTGTATTAGTCTGATACTGATACGTACTCTTACTACATAGATGCACAAACCAGATACTTGAGCTGGCGTACCAAGATTGAATAGGAACATGTAATTAGGTAATCGAATCAAAAACATATAATTAAGTCATTCATAACTACAGATAAATATCTTTTAAAGTGCTTACCTAAATTTTTAGCCAGTACCATATGTCTATTTCCTCAGAAATTTAAGCCAAATTTCGATTAATAGTATACACTTCTCAGTATTTCCCATTTATCATTCTGTTTGCATCTGATCGTCTCATCATGTCGTATATGAAAATCATACATTAAATACATTATTTGCGCATCGTCTTTCAGACGTCCTGTACGTACTTCTTTAATCTTTTAGTTCGGTTGTCATTTTCATTCTTATGTGTTTCCCTTTTCTGTTCTCTTCGATCCAATCTTCTACACTTATTCCACTTCCGATTGATATTGCATACTACCTATATCTGTTAAAATAAGTAGCATACACCATAGATACCCTTCTAGTGTCCGTTCTCCAGGACTTCAACACAGCTAGGATCAAGAACACGTGACTGACCTGACTATAACTTGAGCATATTTCAAAGTCAACAACCGAAAGTGGCAATAATAACAAGGGGTAGGAAAATATATAACACATTTAATACCTGTCAGACTATCTACTAGTCTTACTAGGTAAGTCACTGTTTTCCTCGCTCACACACAAGAATCTTCATTGACCGAGGATTTAGGAACGCGCGTAGCGTATGTTCAGCTACTGTTTACTTCAATGCGTGAAGTTGACTCGAGTAGAAGTAAGTTGGAAGAAAGCTAGGGTAGCCATAAGAAGGCACATAATTAGTTCACGAAGCTACTGACAGTTGGTTTGAGTGATACTGGCATATACAGATTATTTGACTGCATACTGCATGATAATTGCAATTGATGGTTTCATATGTCACATGACATGTCTCATAATCATTCAATCTCTGCCATCCCGTAGATCTTAAGTTCTTAAACTGTCTTACGATATCTATTCCAAGATTCGTTCTTTCTCGAATAATTTTGTCTAAGCTTATTTCATTATACTACGTTTACTGATGCTACTTTCATTACTGTAGAATTCGTCTTGATAATTTCATCCAGCTTTGGTGATATGACATGCCAACTTGAACCGACGAACACTCACCTTCAACGTTGCCAAAGACTGACTGAAATGCTTCCCAATGCTTATCAAACGAGGATGCAGAGCAAGAAAATCAAAAATCTTCAGAAAGCTTTATTTCTACACTGAATAAATATGCACATAAATTATGCTTAGAACTATTCTCAACATCTGCTTGCAACATATGATAAGTGAAGATTCGTTAAGGCTACCTAGTTACTACCTAAATAAAAATCGTAATTTGTAAAATATGATGAAGTAAACTAACTTAACTGAAATGAATGTTTAAGATAAAACTGTCGTAATCAAACATTCAATTCAGTAACATTTGGCACTTAAATATGTCAACTAAACTACATATCAAAGAAAGCAAAACTGCATTGAAGGCCATTTTAAAAGTTACCATGTCCTATGAGCTGAGTGTTGATTTTCTCGTTTATTTGTATATAATTTATTTAAATACATAAATAATGATACAAGGAGGCAACAAATAGATATGCACCACATAAATCATTCGATTTGTGTGAAAACTAGGATACTTCCCGGGTGCCTAAACCGAAGAAGGTGGTTTTCTTAGAGGGACACATTCGAAGCCTTTGACCTAATGGTCTGATCCACAAGGCAGTGCAGCATCGTAAGAAAATGCAGTCACATGGTAGCCGGTGACAAACGATTGGTTCATACACCATTTGTTCCTTCAAGATTCTGAATCCCATGTGGAGCATTGGCTTGGAATCAGGGTTCGTCAACTCCCCTAGGTAGACTCTCCGTATCCACCGACCCGGTTAAAGCGCCGGACATTAGCTTCTCGTCCTTTGAATTTCGTAAACAACAGTGATGCCACGAGAAGGCAGTGAGTAAAACTTCTCTGGCAGTGGTTGTATACGCGTGGCCATATGAGAGCATTTCAAGATGGAGGACTGACAATGCCCACTGTCGGTCGTAACAGAGCAATTAATATCTCTGCAAATTCATTATATCATCTAACAATATTCAATCATCTTCTAATTTTTCTTTATTCTAATGTTGATTATTTAAACTTAATAATATTGATTGTTTTCTTTTTTTTTGTACTACTTTTCATTTTTGTTTTGTATATCCAAACAAACGTTCTCATTCACTCATTCATTGCTTATCAACCTTAAATAAAGAAAAAGAATGTTGATATACAGAATAGAATTAATAATAATAATAAGAAGATAAAATTCTTTTATTGTATCTCGTATCAATAACAATAATAATTATAATTATTATTATTATAGTTACCATGGTAACTCATGAATTTCAATTGACACATTGAATATAATAAACCGAAACCATCATTGAATATTGTCAATTATTATTATAAACTATTTATTATCAATAATAATAATAATACAAGTGATAATTGATAATGTTAATAATGAAATATACATTTTGTTGATAAGGTAACCACAAAAAAATCAATAATTATTATATCATTATTATTATTATTATTATTATTATTATTATTATTATTATTATTATTATTATTATTATAAAGTTAAGAGTACATATAGAGTAAAACAAAAAAGTGAAAAAAAAACATTTTTTTAATGAATAATAACCAACATAAAGTGTTAACAAAATATGAAGAAGAAAAAGAACAAAAAAGAAAAGAAAATTATGAGAATTCTTTTTTTCTTTTTTTCTCTTTTCTTTTTTTCTTGTTATGGTAAACTTAATAAATTCGGTGGTAAACCAACCATTTCACGTGATGCATCCCATAGTTTTTTACTAAGTGATTCATTTAATGCTTTTTCAGTTAATTCTTCTCTTTCACAATTAGAATAATATCCACCAGGTACTGGATCATTAATTAATGTACAATATAATGCAGTTTGTGCACCTTCCCATGGACTTATACCGACAGCACGTAGAAATAACTAAAAGTTAAAAGTAAATTAACATTCGATTTTGGTTTAATTGATATATATATTGTGATATTAAGTAGTAAGAGATAGTTGGTAGGAAAAAAATAATAGGACCCCACCCGAGAGTGGAGAGAGTCCGCTCTCCCTCTCGAAATGCTCTCACATGACCACGCGTATATAGCCACTGCCAGGGAAGTCCTAATCACTGCCTTCTCGTGGCATCACTGTTGTTTACGAAAATGAGAGGACGAAAAGCGAATGTCCGGCGCTTTAACCGGATTTCAAACCAATGGTGCACATGGGCTCCAGTATCCTGCGGGAACAAACGGCGTATGAACCAATCATTGGTCACCAGCTACCATGGGAATGCATCTCCTTACGATGCTCCACTGCCTTGTGGATCAGACCTTCATGTTGAAGGCTCGGGGAGTGGCCCCCTAAGAAAACCACTTGATTCGGTTTGGGCACGCGGGCAGTATCACAGCCCTCACACATATCGAATGAGATTTGTGTGGCGCATATGTATTTGGTGCTTCCCTGTACCAATATTTATGTGCTAAAATAAATGAATTTTTGTCAATCAAGACTCGTGAGTTAGGTGTATTATTGTTCTGAATGAAACTAATACTTGTCATAGGATTCCAAACTAACTTTTAATCAGAGACTTTCCACTGAACTATTTAGACAATTTTTTACCACCTGTTAGAATGAGCGATTTCAAGTAACATATAGCACAGTTCTTGGATTTAATATTCTGATCATATTCATGATTTTAGTCAAAATATAGATTGGGTATTCACTATTGTGTAGGAACTCCATTCTAAAGCCTCAGTTCCCTGAAGACTGCAAAATCTCTTTTTATTTAGTGTAATCAAAGACGAAACGTAGATTTAAAGTTTTATGATAAACGCCTCAAACATCATAAAATGATAAACAAGGTGATCAACGGGACTCTACTCTTTCTAGGAACTATTCTCAATCAGTCAGCTACAACGTAGCATTAGGCACATATATGCATCCGTTCAAGTTGCCATACCGCATTAGCACAACAACATAAACACCAAATTCATAGAAGCAGTTAATTCAGTGGTTATAATAAATAAAACAAAGATTGCATATAAGAGTATAATACAGGAAGAAAGAACTAGTTTGTAGAAAGAAAGATATAAAGTGATTTTAATTTCTTAGTTTAAGGGAAGACAGGGAGTGTATACACCCACACCATTGTGATCGATTCTGAGCCATGTCATCAAGAGTCTCGAACCATTGTTTACGATAGTCACATGGACCCCAACCATGTAGTCTGCATCTACCAACATGACTGAAACTAGAAGTTAGTGACTTCAAGCACTGATGCCACGTTTTAGTTTCTATATAAAGTTAGTTTCATTTACTAAGAAGTTAGTCATGTCAACTAGTATAATCACAATTGTATTTATCACATAGTTGGCATGATATACAGAAATTACACTAAATCATTATGTTTGCATTATTGAATCAGTTTAAATTTATGTTTCTACCAGCAAAAAGAAAAACACAAGACAAATGTGATATACCCTATGGTCTACTGAATAGATTATTCATGACATACCATATTTGTTACCGATTAATTATAAGCTACGGATCATGATGATGATAATAATAATAATAAGAAGAAGAAGATTGTTATAATATGAGTAATGCATTCAAACTATCTAAGATTTTTTCGAAACATTTAACTATATTGTATCTACATACCATTGAAGTAATAATGAAGATTGATTATGGTAATCTGTTTACAATAACTGTCAATTACTATGGTTATTATTATTTTTTCTTTCGAATTGCCAATCAATAATCGATCATTATCGAATCTGAATTCTTTTACAATGACTATGTATACTTGTATTGTATATACATATACATCTATCTCAATATGATTTCATTATAATGGAATCATTTCAATGGTAATTTCAATATTCATAACCTACTCAAATAGACTAGGTTAAATCTATAGTGAAATAATTAAAGTATATCACTCATGAATAGTTCTTTTTTTTTAATGAATCATTTGTTTGTTAAATGAGGTAAAAAGGAGTGAAACGTAACTAAAACAATTCTTTTCCATTGCAAACAATGATTGTCAGCAAAGATGAATAGTGACTAGCAGTGGAATCCAGGACGTGTGTTTCGTTCTAATTTGGGACTCATCAGCTAGATGTATCTATATCCTAGACTTCATATCCACTCCAGGACTCGAACCAAGTACCGTTCGTCTTAAATGCCATCGCGTTATCCACCTAGCTACTGAATTATGAAACACACTCGCTTTTGTAATGGGGTGAAGTTTAAATTCACTTGGTGTTGTTTGTTTTTATCTTCTCATTGTTGTTTAAGAGTGCGATTGATCACTCTCTTGTTGGCATATGTGCATTCTGTGTGGTTTGTTTCGATATTGCCTTAAGTCACAAACTTTATAAGCAAAGATGAATAGTGGCTAACAATGGAATCCAGGACGCGCGTTTCGTCCTAATTTGGGACTCGTCAGCTGGCTATACCTAAATCTCAGAGTTGATGATTACTCCACGAAAGATGAAAGTAAACATCATCAAGCGAATTCAATTATTGCCAACGCTTGAAAAAAAGATCATTATTTTCAGTTTTTGGCTACAAGAGAAGGAAATATGAGACAATTGTATGACATAACAAAGAAACTCTCTGGAATTCGCCACAGGCCAGAACGACCAGTGAAAAACAGGGAGGGCAAAGTAATCATCAACATCGAGGAACAGCGAAAGAGGTGGGTAGACTACTTTAAAGAACTCTCGAATCGACCAGCCCCACTGAACCCACCCAACATCGAAGTAGCCCCCACGGACCTCCCAATCACTGTTAGCCGCCAAATATTCAAGAGATTAGCATGGCCATCAGACAAAGCAAGAGGGATAAAACAGCGGAAACAAACAACATTCCAGCAGAGGCACTGAAAGTAGACGTGGCGGCAACTGCAAGGATACTCCACATTCTCTTCAATAAGATTTGGGATGAGGGACAAGTACCAGAAGACTGGAAAAAAGGACTTCTGGTCAAAATACCAAAGAAAGGCGATCTCAGCAACTGTGATAACTACGGGAGCATCACTCTTCTCTCAATATCGGGAAAAGTCTTCAACAGGGTATTGTTAAACAGGATGAAGGACTGCGTAGACGCCCAACTTCGTGACCAACAGGCAGGATTCCGTAAGGATAGATCGTGTACAGACCAAATCGCAACTCTACGGATCATTGTGGAACAATCAGTTGAATGGAATTCATCACTCTACATCAACTTCATTGACTACGAAAAGGCATTTGATAGCGTGGATAGAACAACACTATGGAAACTTCTTCGACACTACGGCAAGCCTCAGAAGATAGTCAATATCATACAGAGTTCATATGATGGATTACACTGCAAAATCGTGCATGGAGGACAGTTGACAAAGTCGTTCGAAGTGAAGACCGGTGTTAGGCAAGGTTGCTTACTCTCACCCTTTCTCTTTCTCCTGGTGATCGACTGGATCATGTAGAAGTCAACATCTGAAGGAAAGCACGGGATACAATGGACATCTAAGATGCAGTTGAATGATCTAGGCTTCGCAGATGATCTGGCCCTTCTATCCCAAACGCAACAACAGATGCAGGAGAAGACGAACAGTGTGGCAACAGCCTCAGCAGCAATAGGTCTCAACATACACAAAGGGAAAAGCAGGATCCTCCCATACAACACAGCATGCACCAATCCAATCACAATTGACGGAGAAAATTTGGAAGATGTAAAAACCTTTACATATTCGCGCAGCATCATTGATGAACAGGGTGGATCTGATGCAGATGTGAAGGCGCGGATCGGCAAATCAAGAGCAGCATATTCGCAACTGAGGAACATCTGCAACTCAAAACAACTTTCTGTCAACCAACACTAAGGTCAGGATTTTCAATACAAATGTCAACACAGTTCTACTGTATGGGGCAGAAACCTGGAGAACTACAAAAGCCATCATCCAGTAAATACAGGTGTTTATTAATAGTTGTCTACGCAAAATACTTCAAATTCATTGGCCGGACACTATTAGCAACAACGTACTGTGAGAGAGAACAAGTCAGATTCCAGTGGAGGAAGAAATCAGGAAGAAGCGCTGTAAGTGGATACGACTGATTCCATCATAGCTTAACATCCTTCAGAGAAGACCATTGAAAATCATGAAGTATGAGACAACTTTCCTTTATTTTAGTTTGAGAAACCTCAACAATAATACGACAATAACCTCACAAAGACTAGATTTCTGTGGAACTTCAGGTTTTATGACAAGTACAATACAATTAAACAAGTGAGCTGAAATCAAACAGTACACATTTTTAACTTTAATCAGTTCATAACTTGATAAAATTCTAACTTAGTGTTATCACTTTGGTTACTAAATATTCATGAAGTTTTATTAAACAGTTATCTCCTTGATATTAAGCACAGTCAGCTACAACGTAGGACCAGGTACATTTATGCATCGGTCCAAGTTGCCATACCTCATTAACACAACAAGATGAACACCCAATACCCACGGATATCCGTCTCCGGCGGTTAGGTGTCAATAAGTATGGAGCTAACACAAAAATTTGTGTGTGACCGACCTTAAGCAGTTGTTCCTTGGACACTGTAGTCATGCTCTCAGGTCACTAAAACCACCTCTAATCCAATTTTCTTTTTCAAGTCCCTACAGAAGAACCCTTCTACGATATGAGCAATCTGGAATTGATAACCGCCCTCATACCTCTAACAGCACTCAAAACCACTGTATTCAAAATCAACCTCCTTAATAATAAAAACACTCATGATTATATACATAAATTACTTAATATTCTTTTTCTCACCTGATATCTATGATCTCCTGTATTTGATATTTCTGTTCTTACTGCACCAGGATGTACAGCCATTGGTATCACTTTTAAACCATCTAATTGTTTAGCTAATTCACGAACATATAAAACATTAGCTAATTTTGATTGATTATATGCTTTAAATGGTCCATATTGTTCACCGCGTAAATTTAAATTATTCACATCAATATCACCTTGTTGATATAGATTTGAAGCAATTACAATAACACGTGATGGTGCACCATTATATAATAATGGTAATAATAATTCAGTTAATAATACAGGACCTAAATGATTAACACCCATTTGTAATTCAAATCCATCATGTGTTTCCATGTAACTAGTAGCCATCATTCCAGCATTATGGATTAATATATCTAATCGTGTATATTGACTTAAAATATTTTTAGCAAAATGACGAATGGATTCTAAACAAGCTAAATCCAAATGTTCAACAATTAACTAAAAGTAGAAAGAAAGAAAACAAAAACATTGGAAAATTACAAGAGAGTAATTTACTGTACAGATATGAAAAGGATGAACAACAACTAGAAAGAACTGGAAGGGTTACCCAGGACAGGGTTGTATGGAGAGTGTTAGTGGGCTGCCTATACTCCTCAACGAGGAGTAACAGCTGTAAGTAAGTAAGTAACTTACTCTGCATACGTTCTGTATAACTGTAATGAGTATTCTCATAGTACCATGGTAAATAAAAACGGTGTATGTAGAAAAATGACAATAATATCTTATATCGATCTGGATCATCTATGATACCATCGTGATGTTTTCTTTAACATTGGAAAAATTTATATGTACAATGTGCCAGTGGGAGTGTTTCTATTATATGTTTACAAAAGTTCAGTCAGTCACTCAGTCAGTAGCAACGTAGAACTTCGTACGTACGTACATCAGTTGAAGTTAAGATACCACAATATCACACAGATACCATTGTCGACTCAAATCCCATTGTGGTAGAGATAGTAAGAGTATAGTTAGTAATCGGAAAGATTAGGGTTTGAAGGTGTTATCCAAGGAGCATAATCCAGTGAAATAAATTTGGCAAGAGAAAAAAGAAAGAGACATGAAGAATTCAGAAGATTAGAATTTGAGAGAACACAAAGAGGGGATGCACCTGCACCATAGCAAACGATTATCAACCATGTCATACAAGGTCTCTAACCATCGGTTGCTATCATCTCGCGGTCCCCAACCAGGTAGCCTACACCTACCAACATGGCTCAGTCCACTTGTCAGTGACTTTATGGACTTGTGCCATGTTTTGGTTTAGCCGCCCTTAGCTTTCTTCCAACCTACTCCTATACCACTGAACATCTCACGTCGAGACAGTCGGTCATTGGGCATATGTAACACGTGTCTCAGACATCTCAACTGATGGAGTTTCACTACTTCATCAATTGATTTGCCATCCTTACCTAGTACCCGTTTCCTAACAACTGCATTACTTACTCGATGGTTTCAGGATATACGAGCAATATTTCGAAGACACCTACGATCGAATACTAGTTTTACAAAATGTAATCTTTTCCTAGTTGAATACGTTCGGCATCTCGTTTTATTTATTCACTGTTGTCTCTGAAGGATTTCACATATCCTGGTGAAACACTATGTAATTATTGCCGAGATTCGGGAATGTTTTATAATCCACAGTGGTAGTAAATGAGTTGGTATCTTGAAACATCGTGTTTAGTGGTTTCAATGTCTGTTGATGTTTTCCCTGTGGTTATTATACTGAGGATTATTTTAATGAAGTTTTGTTCTCTGAACTGGATGGTTTGGTCATGTAACTTTTATCGTTCTTCCGAACGACATCATCAGTACAAACTTCAGATAGACCTCTACGTGAAATTTCTGCTGATAATGTCTTTCAAAACAACAATGAAAGCTCCACAACCAAACCATCCAGATAAGAGAACAAAACTTCATCAAAATCATCCACCTTAACTACCAATCTTCTCCACTAACTGCGGATTATTCCTCAATATTAAAACTAAATAATAATAAAAAAACAGTTTTCAGCTGATTCTAGTTCTTGGCTAAATTTCTTTTCAACTTAACCAACATCATTTACATAACTAATCAATTTTGTTTTTAAAAATTAAATTCTATACAAGTTACCTGTGCTGTTTTAATAACATCAAGAAATGGTTCAACTCCTGGACCAGCTGGTGATTTTCTCCATTTCTCTTGACTTCTTTCACCAAATCGATCAAGTAGAACTTCTTTTCCTAAAAATCCTCTTTCTAAATCTCGACATGCCATAATTACAGTACATCCACGACGTGCTAATTCACCGCTTAATTCAAGTCCACAACCAATATTTGCACCTGTTACAATAACTAATTTCCCATCTAAACGACCAGGTAGTCTACATAATCGATTAGTAATTTTAGATTTTTGCATTGTTTAAGGAATATAACTTTCTATTGTTTTGTTTGTTTTTTCTAAAAAAAAAAGAAAGTAAAGTGAATGATCAACTTTAAATTCGTTTTGCACAATTTTCAAATAACCAATAGAGAATACTTTTCTTTTTTTAACTCATGATACTAATCAATAGAATGAAGGTTTCACATGTGTTCATTTATTGTTTCTATGTGACAACACATGATCATTCGTCTGAAAGATAAAAAGTGTATTTCATATCCATGCGCGTACGCGTGCACGCACACACATATATACAAATACATTATAAGTGAATGAAGTAAACACATATGGTAGTGGTGGTGGTGGTGGTGATGATGATGATGTGAAGTAACTAGGGTAATATTACCAAGGTATAAAAACTACTCAAAAAAAACTTATTGTAATGTATTTGTCATTTATATTAGTAAAATAGAAATGTTGCTTACAATTTCAAATTGACATGTCATTCATTTAATTAAAGTAAATTAACTCATCCTGGAGTCCCTCCGGGGGCTACCGCCGGTCCCAAGCCCGGATAAAGGAGGAGGGTTGGGCATGGGGTTAGCGTCCCCATCCCATAGAAAAAACGCTAACCAGGAAAAATTATTCTTTTTGAAGGCGCGGATCGGCAAATCAAGAGCAGCATATTTACAACTGAAGAACATCTGGAACTCAAAACAACTTTCTGTCAACCAACACTAAGGTCAGGATTTTCAATACAAATGTCAACACAGTTCTACTGTATGGGGCAGAAACCTGGAGAACTACGAAAGCCATCATCCAGAAAATACAGGTGTTTATTAATAGTTGTCTACGCAAAATACTTCAGATCCGTTGGCCGGACACTATTAGCAACAACCTATTGTGGGAGAGAACAAACCAGATCTCAGAGGAGGAAGAAATCAGGAAGAAGCGCTGATCTTAAATTTTCATTTTAATTTACTGACTTACTTACTTACTTATGCCTGTTACTCCTTGTGGAGGAGAATAGGCCACTCATCATCATTGTCTATCCAACTCTGTCTTGGACAATCCTTTTCAGTGGTTATTCATCCTTGTTTACGTCTGCTTTCAATTATCAACGTAGTGTGTTCTTTGGTGTTCCTCTTTTTCGTTTCTATTCAAAATTCCATGTTAGCGCTTGCCTCCTGATGAAATTTGATGATTTCCGTAATGTATGTCCTATCCACTTGCAACATCTTTTCTTAATTTGATCTTTAGATTAAGGTTGTTTTGTTTTATCGCACAATAGACTGGTACTGATAATATTCGGCAAACGGACATTCAGTATCTTACGTAGACAATTGTTTATAAATACTTGTACTATTTTGATGTTGGTTGTGATAGTTCTCCAAGTTTCAGCTCCGTACAATAGAACTATCTTGACGTTCGTATTGAAGATTCTGACTTTGATATTGGTTGATAGTTGTTTTGAATTCCATATGTTCTTCAGTTATAGGAATGCTATCCTTGCTTTGCGTATTCTCGCCTTTACATCTGTAATTTAGGTCGTGATTTAATTATAATTTGTTTATGGATCAAATTTTCTGAGCATTTGATCGGTTTATTTCATCCTAAATTAGCTTCAATATTAATGGATAACAACGTTCATTAGATCATACTTATACTTTTCTAATTTACTACAATTAAATGGCACTTGATTTTCATTAGTTGAACTGAAAGATGAATAAGCATAGAGTAAATATTCATATAAAGATTAATTAAAAAGTATTCAAAATGAAGGAAGCATCATAGATGAACAAAGAGGATCAGATGACGACGTAAAGGCGAGGATTAACAAATCAAGGGCCACATTCCCACAATTGAAGTACTCATGGAACTCAAAACAACCATCAACCAATATCAAAGTCAGAATCTTTAATACGAACGTCAAGACAGTTCTACTGTACGTGGCTGGAACTTGGGGAAATATCACAACCATCATCAAAAGAATACATGTATTTCTAAACAATTGTCTACGCAAGATACTCAATATCCATTGTTGACCGGATACCATCAGAAACAGTCTACTGTTGGAGACAACAAAACAGCTTCCATCTAAAGGGAAAATTAAGAAGACATTGGAAGTGGATAGGTCATTCATTGAGAAAATCATCAAACTACATCATGAGCCAAGCACTAACTTGGAATCCTGAAGGGGAATGGAAAAGAAGAAGGTTGTTAAACACACTGTGTCGTGAATCGGAAACAGACATGGAAAGGACAAAATAGCAACTGGAAGAAACTGGAAAGGATTGTCCAGGACAGTGTAGGGTGGAGAGTGCTGTTGGACGGCCTATACTCCTTCATGAGGAGTAACAGGCGTAAGTAAGTAAGTATTCAAAATGAAAGTATCGATTGATTAGTATAATTGTAGTGAATGAAGAATTGTTGAGGACAATAAATGTATTGTTTAATACAAAATTTTTTGATTGAGATCTTGAACCAATTGATGTTAGACCATCACAATTGAAAACCTGGAAGCACTGGACGGCCGTTTCGTCCTATTGTGGGACTCCTCAGCAGTGCGCATCCACGATCCTGCGAGCGGGATTCGGACCCAGGGCCTTCGGTCTCCCGCGCGAACGCTTAACCAACTGGACCACTGAGCCGGCATCCAATGGTGATAGTTTCTAACATCAACCAATCCACGAAATTGGTTCAAGATCTCAATCAAAAACTTAATAATCTCCACAACCCCTATTCTAGTAATCAACATGTGCTCACTAGTGACTAGCTTCGTGAGGGAATTCTCGGAGTTCTAGTGAGAAGCCGTGACCAGTGGAGCTAATCCTTGTCGGGTAGAGACAGTTATCTACTTAAGTACAATGGAAGTTGGTCGCGCAATTTCGTGGATTGGTTGATGTTAGAAACTATCACCATTGGATGCCGGCTCAGTGGTCCAGTTGGTTGAGCGTTCGCGCGCGAGACCGAAGGCCCTGAGTTCGAATCCCGCTCGCGGGATCGTGGATGCGCACTGCTGAGGAGTCCCACAATAGGACGAAACGGCCGTCCAGTGCTTCCAGGTTTTCAATTGTGATGATCTAACATCAATTGGTTCAAGATCTCAACCAAAAACTTAATAATCTCCACAACCCCTATACTAGTAATACAAAATTACTGAATGTCTTCATAAATTATGAAATACCCATACATTATCCATCATTTGTCTTTTACAAACTTCATCGTTTCTTCATACCTGTTATCATTACAATTACTCTCTGCTTACATTATTGTTTTCTTTGATTTCATCTTCTCAACTTTCTGCTCCTAGACATTCTAATTCTGATTAGTGTTACATACTACTTATGTCTGTCGACATAAGTAGCGTACACTACATAGTGAACTATTACCTCATCATGAACTGATATCAAATGGAAAAACATTAAAAGTCAAAGAAAATTCAACACGTGTTTCGTTCTACCTTACAATTCATTACCAGTGCTCGATCACATCTCTATATTGAGTGCAATGGAGAAAATTATAGGTTATATGATGGAGTTATTATGACTTTTTCCACTGATTCAGAAGAGAATGTTTTACATTTACAAATGGTATCAGTTCACTATATCTTATTTGATCACGATCTTGAATTCTATCATATATTGGGTTATGAATATCCAATATTGAGGAAATTTAAAGTTAGATGAAACAACTGTTCAGTGTATTCTTGTTTCTATTGGTTCTATAATATGATACCAGTTCATAGAAAACCATTTATAAATAACCGAAAATCTTAGTAGTTAAATTCTCAGACAGTATTATATATCATCAATATAAAATGATATTCAGGCATCAAAATAAAAAAGAAACATAAGTCTCTAATGGGTACGTTTTCTTCCTTAATATAATTCATGAACAGATGATTTTGAAGATGAGAAGAGGTGTCAAAAAGCTTTTTGTTGTTATCGTATAACACAATTACCATCTCATACTCAGATTTCCTAAAAGTTCAGCTCCTCACACAGCTGTCTAACCCTTATTTAACCGTAGTAAGTAGGTGGATACTTTCAAGGTCACTTTGGTATCGCTCAAAGATCATCCATAAATTATTATCTCAACAGTGAATTACTTAAAAGGACATTACCCTAGTTTATACGAAGTTGATTAAAATAAGTAGCATATGTTAGTAATCAATTCGAACAATAAGTGAAGCAAAAAAAACGTAAATATTTCAGTATTTTTGTAGTGAACAAGAACACGAGTGAAGCCAACCGAATGTATTTGAACACAAAATTACAGAACATCTCACTAAAATCTGAGTACCATACAGTAAATAGTTAATTTGCAAAATATCAATCCATCGTCTCAGATTTCATTGTCCATGTATTTTCATACCAATTGCTTTCTGTTCCCGTTATTTCCTTCTCGATCTTCTACTAAAATACATTCTATTTCTGATCATAGTTATATACTACTTATGTGGATATAAGTAGCTCACACCACACTTTCCATATGGAGTTATAAAACCATATTGATATAAACGAATTGCTATGATGAATAAGCTTGTTTATTGATATAAGTCCAATTGAATATCATATCTATTCCTATAAAAACAATTTGCACTATTTTTTCCATTATCTTTGTTATGACTTTAAGTTGTGGTAGATTTCTACCCTGTGTTATCGATCGATTACAATGACACGTAAACACGTACGAACGGCCTAGAGTCTCGATTGGTCCCACTTCCCTGCGCATCCACAACAATCTTAAACTAAGTTCCATTTGTATTTTGTTTGCATTTATTCTTCTCTTAGTATTTTTTTCTCTTATTTTATTCTTTGTTGCTATGCTTCATCATCTTTTCTTTTTTCCTCTTCATTTTCATATGGTCTTAAATCTCTCTTAATTCATTATAGTTATACATCAAAAGTATACATTCTCGAATGTTATTCAATCGATGATTGTTATCATGATCATGTTATTGTTATATTGAATTCATTCTTATTCGGATCTTATTGATCAAATGATTACATCATTATTTTTTAATATTAACCCGT